CATACATACATACATACATACATATACATATACATACATATATACATACATATATACATACATACATGCATACATACATACACATACATACATACGGATTAGGGTGCCCCTCTAGCAGGGGAGAGCAGGGACTGCCCCGGGAAAGGGGGCCGCTGGCGAAGTTAACCACCCTGTAACAACATACATACATACACACAGCCATTCACCCTCCCATTCACCCACCTTGACCAGCAGTCTCTTCATCATGATGGTGTACAGGGCGTACAGCGCCGCCGCAATGAGCGTCAGTGCGTCCCCAAACAGCGGGTTGGATCCGCCACCGCCAAACCCGCCGCCATCTTTACTGCTGCTGCCGCCGCTGCTACTGCCGCTATCTTCGTTCCGCTTATCGCCCAAGGCGACTAATGTCGTACCTGCGTACCAAAGTAATGAACGTTTACAAAACATCATTAGGCAGCGCCATTGCGAGTGTTGGAGCGAGGGGTCAATGAAAAACATTAAACATCGCTCGAGTATTTCAGTTGTGTTGTGTAACTGAAAAGCGGTACGAGCTGTAACACACTGCCCCCCTCGCCCTCCGCCTTCCCCAACCCATATCGTCACCGCTGCCCTCACTCCACGCGGAAAATCTCACACGAAGACATCAGACACCCAATACACGCACACGCAATACACGCACACGCAATACACGCACACGCGATACACGCACGAACCCCCCCAACCCCCCCCCACACACACCTGTCCATCGTGTCCGTCCTCGCGGCTAAGATCATCAAAACACAAACACACACAAAAACAAACATACATGCATACATGCATACATACACACACGCCAGTTCACCACGTACCTGCCATAGCCGCCACCACGCTGGCAAACCGCAGCGCGCTGCCAACCTCCTGGCCTGCAAGGGGAAGGGTGCGAGGGAGGGGTGTGAGGTTGGAGCCCTTCTGGGAGAGCTTGGGGAGGGCATACCAAATCACACGAGGTGTCGGTTATGGTTATGGTTATGGCGATGACGCAAGCAGCAGTTGTGCCTGTAACGGACAAACAGGCACGTGGCATGGACTGTGGTGGCTGTTGTTGTGACTGTCTCAATCACTCACCCGACCCATCGTTAAACACCATTACCCCCACATCAGTCCCCTCAGGGCTCCCTCATCCCATCCCTCCCCTAACACCAACCGCCCCCGCCCCCCTACGACCCCTCTTCCAGCCCAACACACCGCCGCCCGACTCCGTCTGCCCTTCTCCCTTCTCCCCGTCTGTCCGTCTGTCTGTCTGCCCTTCTCCCCGTCTGTCTGTCTGTCCGTCTGTTTGTCTGTCTGTCTCTCTGACGCCGAGTTTTCCCCTCTCCAGCATCCCTTCGCCGAGGGAGGGCCGGAATCGACCCTACTGGGCGACAGAAACCCTAACCCGCCCTCCCACATCACGGGCGGCAACGACCCAGCCGCCCTTGAACAGCGGCTCGTTTGTTCGCCTTTCAGCCCTGGCACGCACAGATACGTATCTAAATGTAAAATCATAACTTTAGTAATTCGTTTACTATACAATCAGTGAAGTAGCTACAATATTTCATAGTATTTACAACTTTGTTTTTTTAATATAACAGTTATAACTTATTATAGTAGCCCTCTCCTCCTCATGCAACCCCCCACCCCCTCCTCCTCCTCTTCCCCCCCCCTTCCGGGTGGTCGGTGGTCCCCACCTAACGCCAAGCTGCCGAGGTAAACGAACAGTGACGAGCAGGACGACAGTACGGTGTTGGAGGTGACGGAGGTGAACTCCAGGGAGGCCGTGAAGGCCAGCTGGGCGGCAAACCAGACCGGGGCCACCTGACACGTCAGAGCGGGTGGGGCCCGGGTTTGGGGTAAGGGGTAAGGGGGGAAGAAGCCGGGGGGAGATAGTACTGTGCGAAAAACACATGCTAAATCATCACACAGAGGATTAGGACCGGCGATACGATACAAAGGACTTTTGATCCAAGTCCGGATCTGCTGTACGGCAACAGCCATAATACGACAACAAATAAACTCCCAGCAGGTTCCCAGAGGTATTAAAATGGGTGAGGCGATGAATTATGAAGTTACCAAAATCTAGTACTTGGCTTAAATTACCCGTAATCGGCCTCGTTGGCACTAGCACCAACAACCTAACCAACGCCTCACTGTCATAATCACCACCAAAAACCACCTCGTACACACACACACACACACACGCGCGCGCGCGCGCAGCATTCCCTTCATCGCGGCTCAGATAATGAAAAACCACATACAGCCCCGGGAGTGCTGGCCGTCGCTGGACTTACCACAAACGCAGCCCGCACAATCTGGGAGGTCTCCACCTCCCCGCCTTCGGTGCCGCCCTCGCCGCCGTCAGCCTCACCACCCGGCAGCGCCACCGCCGGTGTGCCCAACCCCGCTGCCGTGTCGCCTCCACCACCACCGTGAGCCGGAAGCTTGTGGCTGTGTAGCAGCGGCTGACGCTCCGCGCCCCTGCCGGCGCGAGCCGCCGCCAATGCAGCTGAGTCAGTGCCGCCGCTGCCGCCGCCGTCACCACCGCCGCCGCCACCACCACGTCCTGCACGACTGCGCCCAAGCGTTCCTGCCTCTGCATCCGAGCCGTCGATGCCGTCTTCTTCGCTGACGTCATCAGCCTCTCCTGCCGTACTGTCGTTATTTGCTGCCGCCGTCGCAGCGGCAGCTACAGCTCTACGGGGTGTAGCGCGCAGTGGGGGAAAAACGGGGGGGTTGCGGGGGGAGCCTTTGGCTTGGGGGCGGGCGGGTTATTGCAAAGGAGGGCAGGTTGAATAAGGATGAGACAAGGGCATTCCATAAGTGAGCGGGTGTGAAACCCAAAATTTGGATTTGTTTTTGGCAGGCACCAACCTGCGTCTGGGGTGCAGGCAACCGGTGGCATGTTCCAAGGCAACGTCGACGTATGAGGGAGCCTTGCGCTGACGGGTTCTCGGCCTGTGGCTTCGAGGCGCACGAGCGACACGTCCCTCGTACCGTGCTCGCTTGCGGGCAAAATGCCCAACGGGTAAGTAGATCATCAGCGTTGACGAACATATCAGCGTTAACAGCCAGGGCTCCAATGCTGGCTGCTCTTGCTCCCCCCGCGATACAAGCGCCTGGGTTATGAACGATGCTCCGATCCATGAAGCTGATGTGATAAAAAGGAAGAGCAGCCCCAACGCTTTGCTGGAAATCATTGAACGAGCCCCAACGCAACAGTTCGCAGTTGACGCTAAACGTTATGAGTCCATCCTGACATAAAATTTCATACAGTAAGCAGCGAACTGGGTCCCAGAGCTATTGTTTAGGCGCCAGGCGCGTAACTGCAATTGATCACTTTTTAAGTCGTTTGTCGTCCTTCGCCCATCATTTCATTTCGACCCATTCCTCTCGTCACTTACTAACAATATATTTAGACATATATTTATATGTAAGATGAATAATGATTTTGACGAACCAGACACGAGCCAGTGACAGTTGCGACGTCCTCCGATGCCGCGCTACATCGCATCCTAACTCTTAGCAAATTGAAAATCCTATATGTGGTTTATTGAATTTATCATGAATCTTGTTCAATTGCACCGTAAACGCTTTAGGTGTACAACATGAAATGGTCCCTTCTCGTCGCGTTGCTCATTGTCCTCGCCTGCACTCCAAATATAACATCGGCGTATTGGGATTTGAACGCGGCAGAGAGTGGCCTCGAGACCGCGCTCCAAGTCGCCCTCGTGCCGGACCATCTCCAGGCCACGGATGACGGCCCCCAGCTGAACCCCAACACCACGGCACTCCTGCACGCTCTGCTGGAATCTATTGGCACGACCCATGTGGTGGCGCACTGGCAGGGCGACCCCACCGCAATTGAAGCCCTGCAGGAGCTCATCCGCAGCGGCAGGGAAGCCGGTTTCCTCCCGCCAGCGCAATCCCCTCTAACGCAGGAGCACCGCCGCCGCCACCGCCGCCACCAGCATCGACGGCAGCTACAGAATCAGTATCACTCGCGCCGACTGGGAGAGCGGCCTGAGGGGCTATCCTCCTGGCTGGCGGCGGCGGAGCGCTACGTGGGCGCGGTGCCGGAGGGCCACAGCTACCCGCTACTGCGACGGGTGGTGACAGCGATGCTGCTACAGGCCTGGATCGCAGCGGGAAAGACCTGGGGCCAGGCGAGTCCGCCGCATGCAAAAAAAGGGGAAGTCGATTACGTGTCGGGCGTCTTGTAAATAATTTGCCGAGAAAGGAACAGTGTCTATCCTTTGGCATGAGCTTCACACGTTCGTGGTTCGTCTTCCCCCCCAACACACTTTTGGGCAGTTGTCTGAGTTAGCTCTCTCCCCCTCCACTCACCTCGCGAGCGCTCTTCTTAGCCATCGGGGCCATTTCCGTGCCGGGCGGTGTCGCGCCCAGCCTCCGACCGCGCCGCTCATTAAGTACACCCCCCACCCCACCCCTCTCTTTTCCGTTGCGCTCCTATCCCCCGTCTCCTGCCCGCGCCAAACAGCTAGATGACGCAGCAGCTATGCGCATCCTGATGAAGGTACGGGTAAGGGATCGTTTTTCTCGAGGTCCACCGCCAAATTGTCTTTCTTCGTTGTCCCTTAAGGCATTGTGGGTCTCCGTGAAGCTCGATCTCGCAATCTGGTCCAATCAAATCTTGTCTGTTTGAGCTGTTAGAGTAACTCCATATAGTGCGATTCTATAATATTCTTATCACAAGTTATCAGATCTCCAAGATTTACTCTTATTTTTTAGTTACAATACATATTTACAACTTGATTTGGTCCGGATAATTGCCAAGCCCGCCTTTGTGATTGCGATTCAGCTGTCAGCGTTCCTAATGTGCATTAGCGATAGGAACGGCTGGGAAAGGCACATGTCAAGACGCTCCTTAATCGCGTTCCGTACACATTCCGTACTCCTGTACGTCCTGTGCTCCTCCTACCACTACAACACGACGTGCGTTCGTCTGTCTCTGCATGTCGGTGCGGTGCTGATGTCGATGATGATGATGGTGCTGGTGCTGGTGCTGGTCCGGTGTACGGCAACGACGCAGCTGTACGACCTGCACGCCGCCAGTGCCGTACGGAAATCAGCGGTCGAGTACTACCACTTTTCGAAGGCGGCAGGAACGAGCGTGTGCGTCACTTCTGGTGCGAGTGGCCGTACGGATTTCTCACCGGTTTTAGAGCTTTTCCTTTTTGAGTTTTAGAGGGCGATGTATTACACGGATGCAGGTGAAGGGGGGAGACAGCGCCCGTCAGGGCCGAGCTATGTTTGGGCGGGAAACGAACGCTCTCTCAGCTTCCTCTTGTGCAGCAATATGAAGAGCCACACAAGCCATGAAACCGCGATTTGATTCAATCTGCGGGGTTGAAGAGTATGGCATAGGCAGTCCATGTAAGGCTTATGACGTGCCTTTCATGGGCGGTCGAAATGGGGAGGATGCCGTTGAGCACATTGAACTCCTTCCAGCTCGATGCTTGTGTTGGAAAGGAATAATATGAGGTGTAACACACACGAACACGAACACATAGACGAACAAACACACACACACACATACACACGAACACACACAAACACCACACCACACATACACATACACACGAACACACACACATACAATTATTATCAACATGAGGTGGGAAACGCAAAGCGAGTGTGCATTGATGACGTGACCATGTATGGCAGGTTTGGGTTGTTCATTTTGTGTCTCCGCGGCCTCTGTATGTCTTTGTTGATGATGTTTTCGCAGCTGAAGTCGGTTGTACGACGTTTTCCGTAGAGGAGCAGTACACTTGCTTGATTCCCGAGTTCAACGACGGACCCCGCTGGATCAATCGTAAGGCCTACAACGCCAGATGCAGGTTTGTGCTTCTGTCTGTTCAAGTAAAACTGGGCCAGGAGAACTACATCATTTTACAGTTGAAGAAGATAACATAAGAGAAAATCATTACATGCAGAACTTTACGGAAGACGACATACCCACCGACACACCCACCGACGTACCCACCGACACAACCGGTCACTAAGTCACTGCTCCTTTCCTTTTGTATCCCGCCGCCCTCCAGGTGCTGATGTGTGTTGTGTCTCCGACCGCCACTCTTCCCCTGCGGCCCCCACTCTTTCCCTGGCAGCAGCTTCATTCGTTCGTGGTTCATCTTTCCCCCCTCGCCCTTTTTCCCCCTCCAGGCGTGCGCTCCCCAATTTCAGCCGGTGCGAGTCCAAGCTGTATACGTAAGTACGTTCCGACAGCGCATTACAGCTTACTTCACATCTCACCATGTCCGGATGCATCTCATCTCTCACACATCACGCTCTCTGGTGGGGCCCTGCTCACTCCCCCGTCTGGGAGCTGTCCTCCGGGGAACAAAGGAGGCCGCGTCGACATATGACTGTTGGGCTTTTTTTTCCTGGCTTCCCTCTCTTTTTACACCCTTCCCCCCGTCCCCTTACAGCACCTTCTTGCGTCCCGGCCCCCCCCCCCCGGGGGATTTTTTGCGGAGGTGGTCCTTTTGGATTGTGGTCATGTTTGGATCGTTTGAGCGCGCAAACGCCCGTTGGCGGCACAGCCCAACCCAAATCCCTGTAAAAACACGCACTTGTGCACACCGCCTACCCTTGCACACACGCAGCCAGCTGGCCAAGTGGGGCATGCGTTACGGCTCCCGGTCCTTGTGGCTGAGCTGCGAGCAGCGCTCTGCACGGCTTGATGAGCGGGGCTTTACCTTCTATGCGAGGTGCATACACGCGCGCGTGCGCGTGCGCGTTTGTGTGTGTGTATGTGTGTGATTACGTTTTTTTTTGAACAGCTGGACAGCGAGAAGAGTAGTTAGGCAAACCAATGGCAAGGGCAGTGTGGAGTACGTGACGTTGGGGATGCTCCGGGCTAATTGCAGATTCAAGACGGAACATCGCCCATGTCACAAATGTATGTGTGTGTGCCGAGTGTTGCTGTTTATGACAAAACGCGGGGGAGGTTGCGTGTGTAGTGGTTGGGCAGTTGCCGGGGTGTTTGGGGCATGTTGTGTGTATGTATGTGTGTGGTTGTGGGGGTGGGCAAGGGGGGAAAGAGATGGCATGTTGCTCAAGGGAAGGTGGGGCAGTGCTTTTTGTGTCTGTGTACGGGCGAGGGAGTTGTGACCCTCACTCTTCCGCATCGGCGCATTGTTCTCATAACCCAACAATTCCACAGTTACCCCAACCACCAACCGCCACAACCGCTGACGCCCTAAACCCCCAGTGAATACACGCTACGCGGTCGCGGCGGCAACGTGACCTCTCCCCCTGCCTTGTGCAGCAACTTTCTTAACCTCGCAGTGCTAAGGTACGGACAGGTCGGCTGACTAACAGACAGACGAACAGGGCAGGCAAGCAGATGGGCAAAAGCAAACAGGCAGAAGACAAACAGACGAGCACGGCAGATAAACAGATGGGCAAGCAGCCAGACAGACAGACATGCAGGAAGACAGATATGCCATCAGGCCATCACGCACACGAGCGCATGTCCTGTCGTGTATACACACATACATACGTACCTACATAATTGATGCAGCTCCCGCCGTTGTGGGGGACGATGTCCCTTACTACACGGAGGCCAGCAACCGAAGCATGTTATCGTCCTTCGGTTGACGGCACCGGTGGTCCGACCACCCTAACCCTAACCCTGACACGTGTCCCCCTCAGGGATCCCCAGCAGCGCTTAGTGAGCCACATGAGGTTCATTGTACGGACGACGTACGACTGGCTAGGGGAGCATACGGCGCAGTACATGCGGAGCATGACGCTGGCGGACTGGCGGCGACTGCTGCCGGCAGCTTTAGACAACTACTATGTCCGAGCGCTGCTTGGGGAGAAGGGTTTTTACGTGCGGACGGTGCGTGAATGCGTGAGCATGCTTAGGTGCTTAGGTTAGGCACTACTGGTGGAGCACGCACTAATGCCCCCGGGAGATCCCGGGATCGAGACCTGTCAGGGTCGATAATTCTTCCGGTGGTGAAAGGTAGAGTGCCCGTAGTCGATGGACGGTGGTGACTTGGGATAAAGTTAACCTGCACGCCGACCAGGAATAGAGTTGGGCCGCCGTCGATCCGGCAGATTCCATTGGATGTTGGCGGTGGGTGCGGAACCTGAGCGATCCACTGAGAAGTTGACTAGGTGACTAGATGAGGGTGCCCCGAAATGCCGGGGAAGGCAGGGTTTCGCCGGGTAGAGGCCACGGGTGAAGATATGCCCCCCTGTTCCACACATAATACATACATACACACACAGGCGTGGCTCAGTCCATTTAAGCACGTGTGCAGGATTCTTCCAGGTGAATGGATCCAGTTGGATAAGAAGTGAGCATCGTCTTGGTGCTTTCCTTTTCATACTGATTCGATTGTCACATCAAATAGGACAAAACGTATATCCATTTGCTTTTTGGTTTATCCTCGTTCCTCAGGGCGCCCTGAACGCCTCCGAGCATTTGCCGGCGGCCCGGAGCGTGCTGGCCGCGCTGGACGTCCTACTGGTGTTGGAGGTGATTCAGGACTGGACCGCAGGACTGATTGTGTGCTGTGCGGCGACAAGAAGCTGCTCGCACGTCTCTCGCCTGGAGCCATCTACGTTGCATTTATGGAAACAGTTCGCCGCGAACTCCTTTCCAACTAACAATAGAGGCAGCAAAACCAACGGCAAAACTCCATGCTTGGCATTTGGGGTTCGTACAGTTGGTCCTTTGGTTTGTCGTACCTCCTGTCTGTCTGTACCGGCCTTTCTGTTGTCTACTTGTTGGCCTGTGCGTGCGTGCGTACATCAATCAACCCATTCGTCCACCACACCAACCATGTCTGTCTGTCTGTCAGTACGGCTATCCGTTTGGCCAACCCCCAGGATTCGGAGCAGCTGCTGCAACTGGGACACACGTGGGGTTTGGGCTGGAACAGGACGTTCCTCCAGGTGAGTGGGGTACTGTGTTCATGGCAATTGCTGCGGTTGTGTACGGCTTCGTTGACGGTTGGAACGGTTGGCTCATGGACATTCCGGACCGCATCTGGGCCTCCTCCTCCTAGGTCCTTCCTGTGGTTGAGTCCAACACCGGGAGGGGGGATCAGGCGGGGCCATCCAACATGCGCGCCTGTAGAACATGAGCCCCTGTAATGAGCTGCGTAATTCGTTTGAATGTCTGTTATTGCCATCAACGGCCAACCGAAACGCTGTCAACCGCCGTGGGTGCAGTCCGAGGGCCGGAGCAGCAGCCACATGAGTCGCGAGGCGGCCCGAATTGCAGACAAGGTCTGTGTTAATTGGGGGCAAGTGAGGGAGGAGACGAGGAAAGGGGCCGACGGTGGTTGGTGGAGAGGGAAAGATATCGCCGTGGTGCAATGCGGGGCGAGGAAAGGGGTGGTGATACGGTGGTAGTTAAACGCAGCACGCACATCCTGTGTTGTGTGTGGCGTGTGGCCAAAAAGAGACCCTTTGACTTCATCATCAGCAACCGGCAGCACTGAAGCACGCTGAAAAAAAGTGCGCTCTGCGCAGCAGAGACTGCGCTACCGTTATTTCTTTGCGGTGTGTAAAGAATGTGTCCTGCCGTGCTACATTGCACGAAAGTGTACGGTGACGTGCGTAAAGTGTGAGTTTTGTTCTGTATGCAACAGGTGGTACCCAGGGGCGCAGCCTTGAAAGAGCTCGTGGCCGCTAACAGCCTCGACGAGCAACTGTACGAATATGCCGTATTGCTGTCGCGGCTGGATGCGGTGGTGTGGGCCGCCGCGGAGGAGGCCGAAGTACCGCTCCCGATGGTGAGTTCAGTTCATGCTGCTGTCGAGGGGGGTATAGGTATACGGAAGTAGCTGCAGTACATAGACAATTTCTTTTGACCGAAGTACCATCGGCAGCAGTGATGGCAGAGTACGGTTCCCCCTCCAATGATACCAGAAAGCCATTCTTTCCAAGAATATAGCCCATGTTACTTTGCCTGCTTCCCGTCATGACAGAACCAGCAGCCGCCCCTAGAGTGCATACAATTTCTGTGTGCAATTCCGATGGGGCGATGTTGCCAATCGATGCCCCACCGACAGCTACCATTTAACACCTGATAATGGTTGGCGGTTGGTTGTGCCCCATCACGCAGGCAACGATGATTGTCGACGACAGCAGGGACATGTCTAAGAACTCACTAGATGGCAGTGGGGGCGGGTGTGGTTACATTGCAGCCAAGCTGCCGAAGCCCGTCGCTCCGCCGCTGGCCCCGGAATATGCGAAGTAACAAAATGCATTTATTGGCCACGTGGTGGGCCTTAAGCGGCCGTAACGGTCACGGAGAGGTCAACCTTTCCGATTTGGAGATTCCAAATTTGGCACATCCTGGGCCCTTCTTGCCATCCTTATCCTGGGGGTGGTCACATTTCTATCCTTTTTATTCCCTACTCTTTGCCATCAGTATCCTGGGCCCGACCTTCTGCCGCATCCTGACCGCTCTGCGACCTTTCTGTGTATGCTGGACGGTTTACCTCAGTGCCGATCGGCACTTTTCTGTGACGTAACACGAAACGTCGCCATATGATACTACAGGCCATCTTTGCAGGACTTCGGGACGTCGAAGAATAATGATACAGAAACATAATAATATATCAGATAGTAATATGAATGTGCCCGAAGGAAGCAAAGCACCTTGGAGTTTGGTGGTTGTCCCGATGTACGAAATCAGTGGCCGCTCTAGTGGCACCTTAGTGCGCCCTCTGCGGAGTGTGGCCACACGGCAACACCATTAGTACGCAACTGGTTCCGCAACTATAAGAAGGATGTAGTCTGCTACTACCAGGTTGTATGGGTACGCTTACCCATCCTGGTCACAACTCCATATCGAAAGCTTCCTGCACCTTGTTTTAGAATCTGACGACATCTATATCCCGAAATCAATTATAGCTGCACACCTCTATCTCAAATGTAAACGTGTTGACATCTTTCTGGACGTGAGGTGGTCCATGGCGGTTTTGTACCCACGATGGCTGAATCTTCTCCAGTGCACATTCATAGCTCACAGCTCCTCTGCTTCCTATTACCTCAAAGGCATACCTGCAACCATTACAAGGCTATCTGGAGGACCGGGCCCATGGGTCTGTGTCAAGCTAAGCAACGCCGCCAACTCCAGCGCACACGGAGACGAAAGCAGACCCGCCACAGGAGAGCAGCGGCACTATGCGCACTCCGCCGAAACGAATATCAGCAGCTGCAGTCGGCTCTTTCCATCCGTCATTCGCAGAAACCAAACCGACCCCCAGGGGCCCAACTTGCAAGGTCTTCCCCCTCCGTACCCTGCATCTCAAACCCCACACGTTCAAGGCCCCCCAGCTGCTGACCTGAAAACCCCCTTTCATATTCTGCCCCGTCCTTCGCCTCCTCCATTATTTTCATCCTCGAGGTCACAGCATCCATGGCTGCAGCGCCTCCAGAAGCATCTAGCGCCATTACAGCCCTGCCAGCCGCCGTGCCTGTCCCACGTAACACTCATTCCCCCCGGGCTGTCATATGGAAGCGCAGCTGCTGCTCCATCGCCAGTGCCGGCTCCAGCTGCTGGCACCTCTTCTCCCGCAGTGCCGCCGCCTGCAGCAGCACTGCTGCTGGTGCACCCGCGCTATCGAGGCGTGGAGGACCGAGAGGAAGCCCTGCGGCTTGCTGAGAGCCTAACTGGTGCGCCTGTATGTATGTGGTACTGTGGTATGAAGTACAGTTGAGCTGTGCGTGCTCTTTGAGGCGTGATGGATGCTCCCTCGCCTCATTCGCCTCACAGAAACTTACATACGTACATACATACTTACATACATACATACTTACATACATACATACGTACATACATACATACTCACACGCAGGTCAGCCCTGTCCCTTTTTGGAGGTGGGTGGCGCCCGACTGAGACCCCGTCGCTCCAGGGAGACCACCACCACCACCACCGTGTCATCGTCCTTATCACCCCCTGGCGCGGCGCTCCGGCGACCGGCGGTCTCGGGCCTGCGTGCCACTTACTTTGGCTCCGGAACCATGAACGAGCTGGCACGCCAGCTGGACGCGCTGGAGGCGGCAGAAGCTGGACCTGGATCCAGATCTCCATCCGGTTCTGGAATCGGAGGAGGAGGAAAACCTGGATCCACCAGGTCCATCAAAAGGCAGCAGCGCCAACAACCCGAGCAACAGCTGCGGCAGCATCAAGAGGTGGCGGAGGGGAGCAGCCTTGACAGAGCAGCTGTGGAGCTGTCACAGGGCGCCCAGGTGGTAGAGGCGCTAGGGGACGCATTAGAGGTTGATGTTGGTGGTGGCGACAGCGGTGGTGGTGGTGGTGGTGGTGGTGGTGGTGGTGAGGCAGCACTCCAGGGGCAGGAGCATGGGGGCGGCGTCAGCGGCAGCGCCGGCATCGGTGACGGCCTCCGCACCCCGGTCTTTATCAACGAGGTTCTGACAGCCCTACAGGTAACCGGTGCACCCAGGGTAAAGAGAAAGAGCTACTGGGGGGAGAAAGCTATTCCCCCAATGAACAGATGCGCTGTGATGAGAAGGAAGAGGCACGAGGTTGGCACACGAAAATAACTTGGCTGTCTGCTCAGCATACTGGTTGTTGTGTATGGCCCGAGGGTGCTGGAGGACGAAATCCCATTGGCATTGGCCCCGCCGCATTGGCCAAAGTTGAGCTGCAGCAAATTCAATGCGGTCGGCGACAATAAGGCTTCACGGCGTAGAAGTGCGTTCCACTCTTGATTCCGTGTCCCACGACCCACATCGCCCAACACGGCCCCGGAGAACCACAGGGGATGTCCTCCCCACGCGCTGTTGTGTTGCGGCTCCTTCATTTCACCATTTTACAACACGTCGGCAGTTGTCGCGTTAATGTTCTACTCTTGTGCGTATATGTACGATTGCCCCTTCCTTAGTGCTTATTGCCCTTACGAGAGGATACCACTTTACACAGACACAAACTGTCTTCCTCGCGCTTTCCCCCGGGGAACTATTTCCCCTTTCCCGTGCCCCAGCAACACACCCATACACATACACATACACATACACGCACACACCTCAACGCCTCCAACCAACCCCCACAGGAGCGCAACATCGAGCTGGCTCTGGGTCGGCCCGTGGTGGATCGAGTGGGCCTTATCCTCAGGCTGTTTGCCCAGCGGGCCCACACGCGGGAGGCTCGACTGCAGGCGGGTCAATATGCCGCCGGCTACTCCCCCGCTGCCGGCCAGCCCCCCCCCCCGGGTTTCTAGGGGGAGGAGCAACAGTCCACCATGTTTGTTGGATAAAACAACAGCTCGAATACACCCGGCGAAGAGGGTTTTAGGGTTTTAAGGGTTTAGCTGTTTTTCAGCTGGTGTAAGAGTTTTAGCCAAGAAACTCGGAGCCGCACCGAAAGGCAGTAGGGGGAGGTCTGTGGTGAAAAGGCGGAGCTGCTGGGAAGCTTTGAAGCGCACAACCTTGCATTGCACACCTTGCTTTCCGTTTTCCAACGTAAGCGGTGTTTGCCTGTCGAAGTTTGAACCTCATCACAACTACCACAACCACCTTGCGAACCAATGTCACACTTTCGGCTCTAATGCTCGCTCTCCTGAGCCACCATCATCATCATCATCATCATCATCATCATCATCATCATCATCATCATCATCATCAGGCATCACCAGTTTTCATTTTTTCTCCTTTCCATAGTCTTGTAGCGTGAACCCATCCGGTTTCCTCACCCTCCGCCCATGTTTGGCACACGAAACTGTGCGGCAGGTCGAACTGGCGTCTCTGTCGTACATGCTGCCTCGGCTAGTGCGCATGCGCGGGGCTGACGGGCGGCGAGGCGCGTTCGGCGTGGGCGCTGGCTGGGGCGGCATCATGTCCGACATGGGCCCGGCACCTCAGGTGGTCAGTGCCAGGCAGCGGGGGACAACTGGGGCAGGTGAGGGGTTTCCCGGGGTTTGTACGGCTTTCGTTGTACGGCGGGGTTGTGGCCAGTCCCACACCGCATGCCGTCTTTATTGTCCCGTCTCCCTTGCAGTCGAGGCCGCCGCCGGGTGGGTGTATACCCCCACGACACACTTATCCGCTTTCCGTAGCCCCTTTTGGTAGCCCCTTTTGGTAGCCCCTTTGTCAGGTTCGATTGCGGGTCGATGGGATTCGCATTCAGACCGCCCCTGACCTCATTTCTTGGCATGTGCAATGCGTACGTGTATACGGTGTATGTATTGACATATATGTATGGGTGTATGTATTGATGTGTGTATCTATGTATGTATTGACGTATGTATTGACGTATGTATTGATGTATGTATTGGTGTGTGTATTGGTGTGTGTATTGATGTCTGCTGCTTTTATTCCGTCCTCAGGCGGCCTGGGCGGCGGTGGAGGCAGTGGCGACCCCGAGCTGAGGCAGCAGCGCTTCCGCATCAAGCAGCGCCTGTCCACTCTGAGGGCGGAGCTCAAGGCGGTGGCGGCGTCGCGGGGGGTGCAGCGCCAGGGCCGCAGAGCGGCAGGTGAGTGCGGTGTGACCCATGGGTCATCTGAAATGGTTTGCGGCTGTTTATTACTTGGTTGATACGCCGGGGTATCTCGAACCTTCTTATGCATGGCGATTTCATGTTGTGTTTTCTGGACATCGTCGGGACGAGTGGTTTGGCTTGTATGTGTACGTGTTCAGTTTCGGGTTATGTGGTGTACAGGAATGTGGTTGTGGCGGTTGTGTACGAGCGTGGCGTTTGATCTGCTGATACTGGGTTGGTTCTGCTCCTGCGCACCGGTCAGCACTCCATCAAACCGCCAGGGAAAGTCATTATGGGTCGTGACACTAGGCTTTCAACCACCAACCACCACCAACCACCAACCGCAGGTCTGCCAACCGTTGCCATTGTCGGTTACACCAACGTGGGCAAGACCAGCCTGGCGGGCGCGATGTGCTCCAGGGACGCTGGACTGCCGCCGCCAACCGATATGCTGTTCGCCACGCTGGACCCCGCAGTTCGTCGGGTGTGGCTGCCGACCCGTGGGTCACACGTGGCAGTGTCGGACACGGTGGGCTTCATTCGGGATCTGCCGGTGGGCCTGGTGGCCGCGTTCAGGTAGGAGGGGGTGGGGTGGGGTGGGGTGGGGTGGGGTGGGGTGGGGTGGGGTGGGGTGGGGTGGGGTGGGGTGGGGTGGGGTGCGCTCTCTTACGTTTTGCCTGTTGCGTGTATGTTAGGAGAAGGGATACCGCATCAGACGTTAGAAGGCATTTCTAACAGTATGCGAAAGGCAGCATATAATATGGATAATAGTGATCATGACGTTTTACGTACGGTTCTCACTGTGTGTGTAGTGCGTGCGTGTGTGTGTAGTGCGTGCGTGCGTGCGTGTGTGTGTATGTGTGTGTGTGTGTATGTGTGTGTGTGTGCATGTGTGTGTGTGTGTGTGTGTGTGTTCTCTAGTAGCCCCTCGTCGGCTTCTCGGGGCTCGAGCCAGGCATGTCAAACTCATGAACGCGGTGTTTCCAAGTACGGAGGTGGGCGACCCTCTGGAGGAGGAGTAGGGCTTCTACAGCTGCAGCGGCTGCACCCCTTGGTGATGGACCTGATACACAACAGCCTGGCACAACGCGGCAACTCGAAAACATGTTCATGTCCACGGCGGGTTTTTGTGTCCGCAACCCATTCCCCCTAGCCCCCGTCCATCATCTGTGCTGCGTCGTTACCCCCCTGACCCCCGTTCTCGCCTTGGTGGCCTCAGGGCGACGCTGGAGGAGGTGGTGGCCGCTGATATGCTGCTCCACGTACTGGACGCGTCGAGCCCAAATGTCGCCCAACAACGCGATACCGTACTTGCCGTACTGAGGCAGCTGGGTGTGAGCGAGAAGGTGCTGACCTGCCGTACAATCGAGGTTTGGAACAAGGTCGACCTCTTGTGTCAACAACGCAGCGGCAGCGGCCTCGGGCTGGGTGAAGAGGTACGGCAGCGGTGTAGCAGCAGCACGGCTGGCGGCGGCG